GAAATCTAATAATAATAATAACGGTTTAAAATATGAAAATTCGAGTCGTGAAACAATTGGCCATCTTGTATCAGGTTGAACAGGTTTAGCACCAACTGAATATAAAACTCGACATGATCGACAGTTTGCACTGGAACATATGACACTTTCACGTGAAGGAAACTGCAAGAAACTAACATGAACATCACTCAGGCAACAGATGGAGATACTAACAGATGAGGTATTAGAAAATACTAACAGATGGTGTATAATTAGAAAAGCTTTTAAGTGCTTTTATAAATAAGATTTACTAAGGACACTATTGTCTTGAGAAAAGAATTTCGATGAATAATGAATTTTTACAAGAATTGTTTTATTTTTTATTTTAATTTTAATAATCGATAATTTTATAAATCGTTTAAAGTTCTGCATTACATCACTCCAATTAGGTGATATTGTTATTAAGTGAAAACTATATTTACGAATCAAAAATTGGAAAGCTCATTAAAAGTCGTTTATACCCAATAGTTGAAAAAAAAATTTTTTATGTGTACGTAACGTGCTCCTGTTTGAAAGTATGATCGATCATACACGACATAATATAAAATTTAAATCCAACATTCCTAAACTTATATTACAGAGAACATTTTGCAACATTTTTAAGATTTCTGAGTACTTAAAATTGTACAAAAAAAAACATAAGCTCTCCTTAGAACAATAATAATAGGATCAACACCTTGTCAAGTGATTTACGGAGTGTTGACAAACACTTAATCACGCTACTGTTTGTTTTAAAAATCCATTTCTCTGTTACTTTAAACTGAAAGTAATTTTTTTTCAAATCAGATTAATTATACTTTAAATCAGTTAATATTCCCGAAATAAATTTTCAGAAAAGTATATTTTATTTTTGTAAGATTTTAAAATCGAGAATTAAATTTTGTTTACAAATGTGTTAAAAATGGCTGAATTTAAACGATATCTGCAAGCGAGAAAAAAGAGATTCATCAATATAATTTCTATTGAAATAAATCAGAATATTTTGCTTACTGAAAAGTAAAACTTAATTATTTCATTTCTAGCTAAAAGAAACTCAAGAATGATTTTCATTTTAAAAATTTCATTTTAAAGGTATCGAAACTGAAACACCTATTAAAAAGAACTCGGTAAAGTGATTCTTTGGGTTTTGGTAACAATAGTATATACAAAATTAGTTCTAACTACAATCTAAAATGAAAGTTGTTCTTAACAGACATTCTTCTAGATCCTCCTCTAGTAATGTAGGAATCTCGCAGATCTCTATACTTGACCAAACTTAATTTAATTTTCATTAACGACGCTCCCGATGGCATAGCTATCAACTTGGTATCTATGCTGAGGACACAATCATTTCCTCCTGTCTTGATACTAATTCTGACGATTTCGATAAACAGGCACGTGAATGAGTGGCTAAAACTAATTGTGTCTTAGTGGCTTTATTACCTTGCATGGGTTAAATTTGATTAAAAAGAGCCACACGTACATAGTTGGCCAGGTCATCATCCGATATTCCATTTAATTATATTAATCATTATTTACATTATTCGGACTATTGTGCTCATCTTTGTCTGCATATTTATTACAACGTTTCGGCCGTTGACGCCCGGCCTTCTTCAGGTGGTTGGAATATCGAATTGAACCATTTATTTCGCACTGGGTTAGAAGTTACGTGCCATGTTTAATGGATGTCAAGTTAAAAAAACCGGGTATTGAACTCACACTCTTTGGGTCCTGTCACTGGATCTAACTAACGCCTTATCCACTGTCATGTGTCCTTGAGGACACATATTAATCATGTATTAAAATAATTAATCTTATTTCTAGGTCTAAAATATTAAGAGTGAAAAACAAGTAACTTGATATTTAAAATGTGAAAATATGTTAATTAACTATATTTTAGAGAATAGATGGTTGTGTCAGTAGTGGATTGAGTACCTGTTCAATTCCAGATTAATGGTTTCGTTTTGTTGTATTCGTCTGGGTGTCGTCATGAAAACCCTGTATTTGCAGCCTGATTAATCTCTCTCTCTCTCTCTCACGATAATATTTTCTTTTTTTTAATTCAAGTTTTGATATTAATGAAACTTTTCTGACTCTTCGAAATTAATTAACTCGGAAAGTAAACGTAAAAAAATAACATCTAATTTTTAAAAAAATAACACTTGAATTTTCTTTTTAATTTTTTTTCTGTCATGTTTTGTTATAAAATTAGTCGCCATCCACCACTCCCCTGAACACAACCTTCCGTTCCTTCGCAAAATAAGATGGGTTAAGAGGAAAAACAATTGAGTATTCTTATTTTTAAAAAGTTTGATATCCGACCCAGTGATTTTCTGACTTCGAAATTAAATGATGTTATTTCTAGTTCACTTCACTGGTTAACTCGCGAAGTCAAAGTAAGAGGTTACTTTAAATTTAAATTAAATTAAACTGAAAAATTATATTTATATATATATATATATATATATATATATATATATATATATAGAGGATATATATATATCAGGGTTTACTGTGTGTTGAATTGTTAAACAAATGTTAGTATAATTTGTTTAAAGGTAAAATTTGTAAGATTGAAAACATTTTCTTTTTTTAAAGCCCTTAAAGAATGGACATTACCAAAAAAATTCAGTCGGGGAAAACAACAAAAATTGATATTTAAAGTTTAATTGTAGAAACCCTAAACTGCCTGTTGGAAAAATAAATGCCTCACAAAATCCGTGGTATACCAATGCACTTTTTCATCCATTGAGAGTCCTAACACTGATAGGATATACATAGGCTCAACGAAGAATAAATTTAAAATTAGATGGAGGCAACACAAGAAACAATATTTCAAAATAGAAATCAGACCACCAATATGGCATCTAAAAAGAAATGAATAAAAAACAATTGTAAATGGAAAATAGCAAGAACTTGTAAACCTGGAAATGCCCCTTAAGACACGAAAAACTACACATCATTAAGTTTCTAAATAATGAAAAATTATTAAACCATGGCAGGAGTTAACGGGCCGACATCAACAAATTCGCATTAAATAATTGAGCATAAAAAAATTAGTTTAATAAAAGTCTTAAAATTAGGACCTTTTCTGTAGTCGAAAAACAAATTGAAATTCAGTAATAAAGGTTTGTTTTTTGAATAAACAAATAAATAAAGAGATAATCAGATAGACAATAATAAAACAAAATCCTCCTGAAATTATAAAAATATTCATTGAACCAACTAGAGGATGACCGCCAACATTAGCCTTGAAATAGATAACCCAACCGAGCAAAAACCTCTCAGAAGATGATGAATCTATAGATAAGAATTTCTGACCACCATGCTTAAAAACACACGCTCAAAAGATAGCTATTCTAAAATTTTTGAAGATGAAACGATCAAACACCTTAATTGAACTTAATTTTTAATTATTTGATAGTTTGGCTCTCTTTTTGAAAACATGAGAAATCTTATGTAGCGAAGGAATCAAATTTTTAAACAAAAAAATGTTTATATATATAATTTTTTTCTGATGCTTGGCGTCTAAACTGCCACCTCCACTATAATTTATTTCAAGTGGGGCTCGTTGTTAGCAAGCCTATAGGATTAACAATAAGACCTATCAAAGGGTTGAAAAACTCTTGACGAGTCAACGTCCAGCTAAGTAGAAGTTAAAAAGTCAACGGCAAACCACTCCACTATCAACTGAGAGGACATTCATGACTCTCAACAATAGTATTTTAAAGGATAAAGGCGGGAAGGGTGTTAACTCTGATGAACATAATCAACAGGCGTCACCAGCCATCCAGTGACTGTTCGCATCAAGTAATAAATATTTTTACGGATGTAGAATGTCAGAACATTAAATCAATTATCAATTATTTTGTAGTTAAACTGAAAGTGAAGCCTTTTAATATATCCATTGTAGTTGTGTATGCACCGACAGCACAAACAACGGAGGAAGAAATTAGGAAGTGTTACTGCACACGTGACAACGCTAAGTTTTAATGCAAATCAGAGAAAATTATCGTATTTGGTATATCCGGTCGGTTAGGTTCTTTTTGAGGATTTTCGAATGCAGTTTAAAAAGCTAATATTACTTGTTTATACGCTTCCCGATTCCATTTTGCTCGCTTTCTTTTGATTGATTTGGCATTGAGTCACCAGGGACCAAGGTTGGAGTTAATCTGGTTGTTGGTGGAATAATTTATTCCAGTGACAGATTTTTCGACCACAAACTGGTTAATCTGTGAGAGACCCTTGTGACGACTAATCCGGTGTGTGTCTTTGTTTGTAAACAATGAATTTTTTTCTTTCATCATTAACCGCCAAGAGATAATTTTGTTCAAGTAACTATCTCTAGGATGACTGTCGGCTGGCACTAAAGAGCTCTTCCTGCCCATGAGACACGGTTATAGCCCGCCTGACGCCAATCTGATATTTCTAAGCCACGTAGAGTTATTATTATTATTATTATTATTAGCAGCTCCAGTGAAAAGTTAATTATTTGCATTTTTTATGCAACATAATATTTAAGGAAATAATAGTTCCACAAAATATTGCAACCATCATGAATATGAATACAGAAGAACTTCGATGTCAGAAGAAGAGGATTCATAGCTTTCCCAAAGGTATTAGCATGTAAGTTAATGCAATAGATTCGACTGGAATTCGAACTCGGCTCGGAGGAGGCATGGTGGAGTAAATGGATAGCGGTTCGGATTGAGGAATCGGAAAGCCGTGTTTGAATTCTAGTCGTGCTAATATTACACTTGGGAAAGCTATGAATCCTCTTCATCTTCCCCCTAGCTATTTCTAAATAGCAGGACAGACCGGGTGCCACGGATGGCAACTGGTCTGCCACAGAAAGAAATGGCAACCTACTGCGGGAAAAAATCTGCTTCGTCAGTCATGTATCGAAAGGTACATGATCGCCTAGGCGTGTATCACGCATGCCACATAACTGACTGACTGTCAAATATTATAATACCTGACAT